CAGCACAGAGCCCGACACGGGGCTCAAACTCACGAGCCGTGAGAACATGACCTGAGCCAAAATCGGACACTTAACCAGCTGGGCCACCCAGACACCCCTTAAGCATCCAACTCTTGATCTCAGCTCAGGTCTTGATCTCAGAGTTGTGAGTTCAAGCCCCTCATTTGATTGGGCCCTGTGCTGGGTGTGGAGCCTACTTAAAAAATATATTTTTTAAATGCACAGAAAAGGTCTGCAAAGAGGCACATGAAATTGTTGAACAGCGGCTACCTCTGGAAATAGTCACTTAAAGGAATGACGGAAAGACGTTTTCACTTTTTATTTTTCAAACTTCATTCTATTGACATGGATAAATAAGGAGCTTCTATATTTATATATTGCTGGGGCGCCTGGGTGGTTCAGTCAGTTAAGTGTCTGACTTCAGCTCAGGTCATGATCTCACAGTCTGTGAGTTCGAGCCCTGCGTCAGGCTCTGTGCTGACAGCTCAGAACCTGGAGTCTGCTTCGGATTCTGTGTCTCCCCCTCTCTCTGCCCCTCCCCTGCTCATGCTGTCTCTCTCTGTCTCAAAAATAAATAAAAACATTAAAAAAATTTATATTTATATATTGCTTTATCAATAAAATACCTATTGCAACTGCTCAACCCCTTTCTCCACCAAAACAGACTAGTTGCTCTGCTGACAAAATCCCAATGTCCACTTGCCTTGTAGAGTATTCCTCCAAAACAGTGGTTCGCAAAGTGTGACCCTGGAGCAGTATCACGGGGGAACTTGGTCCAGATGCCAGTTCTTGGGTCCCAACTCTGACCTACTAACTCAGAACCCCCTGGGGAATGGGGTCCTGCTCTCTCTGTATTAACAGCTCCAGGCAATTCTGAGGCATTTTCAAGATTGAGAAGCCTTGCTTCAGATATTAATGAAAGGCATCAGATTAGATAGGATCCCCCTGGGAATGCCCTGGAAGGAGTAAGCCAAACCAAACTGGACTTGAGAGTCCTTAACTACTAGAGGCAAGGACTAGCCTGAAGAACATAATTATGCTGCTTCTCTTAGAGGAGAAATCCTAAGAAACTGCATGCGACAAGAAGTAACAGTGTCTCTAGAGAAAATGCCTCCGTGCCTCCGTTGCTGTGAGAGGGAAAAGCTTGCTTCTTCCTTCTGCCTGGGTTTCAGATTCCTTCACCCAGGACAGAAGTGTCTTTCCAAAGGACATAGCTAATCTTCAGGAGGAGAGAAATCCCTGGAGGATACAGTCAGCGAGTCCTTTACAGGGAATGAAAGAACAGTCTGTCCTCCCCAGAGTGAATGAGTGATTAGATGGTGCTGGCCTTTCTGAATGGAATTAATGAACCTTCCGAGAGGCATCAATTTGTACCTTCATTGTAACCTGGTAACCTTGGAAAGCCTGGAGCCGCTTTTTCTTCTCCTCTTCTTGTCCCATGCTTATCCAAGTGTCTGTAATTAACACGTTGCCTCCACGAGCCGCTTCCAAGGGATCGTGCGTCAGCGACATCTTGGTGCCGTTCTAGCATACACAAGCGTGCCAGTTAAACAACTGGGGCAGAGAAAGGCGATTGTAACTTTACATATAAGGGCCATACCTCCTTGGCATACTGCTCTGCCAGCTTGGTTACACTGGGATCCGGCTCATAACCCTGCAGGGGGAAGAATTCAACCGTTTGTTAGGCAATTGTAACGTATTAGGCTGTCTTATATATGTGTTATTTTCCTTTCAACAATATTCTCGCTCTCCTTCCCTTTGTTGCTTTAAGTTGTAGCTCAATGCGCATTCGGCAGAATTTACATCTAGAATATAAAGCTTAATAGTGCTTTTTGGAATTTAAAAAAATTGATCAACTGAATAGGTAACCCATCTTTCTTTTATTATCTTTGACAGCTTTAATTATCAAGATAAACAGGGTGTGGCGCTTTCCAGCTCTTGGTAGTGCCTCTTCTTGTTCCTCTAATAGCCTAAGAGGATCGTATACATAATTCTACTAATTATGCTAATGAAATTTTATCTCAGTCTTTCCACTTTGAGCTGTGTGGGGTTTTTTTTAAATGCTTTTTCTTCTGGAGTGCTTTTCCCCACTCATTTCTTATGGATAAACGCTTTCGGGTCTCAGCTCAAATACTTCCACCTCAGAACATTCCCAGAGCACCCCAGCGAGGCACTAACAGGCCAAGTGCACACCCCTTATTCTTCTGTACTCACTAGAGTGTTCTGAGTGCAGGGCGCGTGCTTAGAAGTGGCATTTACACAGCAAGTACGCTACTTTTGCTCAAATATATGTGAATGGGACGGTTTGGCGAGAGCAGGGTCGGGGCTTGGGTGAGACAAGCGAGGTGCCTGGGACACAAAGTCTGAGCAGGCCTGTCAGGGTCTTTGCGGGGACAAATGGTGCACCCTAAGAGCTTTGCTTACTTAGCCTAGTCTCAACTCCAGGTGAGGGGACATTGCGGGGGCACTAAAGCCCCCCAGGCTATTCTAGACCCCACAGATACTCTGCTTCCTCCCTCCTCACCCTCCCATCTGCTTTGTACACAGCAGCAAGAATTGTTTTCTCTGAAGCCTGCAATGTTTACTACTTGTTTCTGAAGTCAAAGCTGATTAAGAGTATCAAGGCTCCCCCCACCCCAACCCCAACATTCCCTGTTTCTGTCTCTTTTAATTCTCCTCAACATCTTGCTGCAGGAAAGCCAATCTTATTGTTATCCCTGTACATGTCTTGCCCTTTTCTGCCATCTCAGCCTTTCACCCTTGAACACCCCCGCCCCCGTCCCCTCCTGGGTGTCTTCATTGGAACATGTCAGCTACTCTTTCATCAAACCTCTAGCCCAGCCTCACCTCTAGACCCTCCGTATGGAGGTCTTTTCAGTCCGAACACCACAATTATTCTCACCGCCCCCTCCATCCTTCTCATTTTCCTCAAATCTTAGCACTTCTTATGAGCTGGTTTTTATAAATTCTCAGCAGAGCATTGTGGTGCACACTGTGATATGCCACTCGGATCCCCGCTTCACGAATAAAGGACCTATTCCCCCAGCTGCTGGGTGTGCTGCCAGAAGGTGGCTTTCAGCCGTCAGCCCTCTTGGGGCACCGCCTCAGCTGCAGATAGCGGACTCATCCAAGGTCACATACCCTTCGGGGGCGACCTTCATTCAATGACTGATTGACAGGAGGGGATGGAAACCCTCCTCCCTCCTCCCAACTTGAGAGCAGCTCTAAATGGCCATCTCAGATCTAGAAGTCTCAGTAAGGCCAGAGGAGGCTGCTGTTGGGCCTGCCCTGCAGCTCGGCTTCTTCCCCTGCCCATTCCTGCTTCCTTCCCTGCCCTTCGGCAGGTGTTGATCTCCAGAGCATGTCCTAATAAATACCCTGTACACCAAACTCTGTCTGAGACTCTGTCTCAGAGTCTACTCCTGAGTACCTCAACCTGCAGCAGGCACGTTAAGGTTTATTCATTTGAAACCGGTTTCTATTTGCACATGATTGTCTACCATAGTTCCTTCTCTCGTTACAGAATTCGTGAAAGCAGCTACGCATGATGTTGATGATGATGGCTGCAGACATTTTAGAAGCTATTAATCCCCTCAATACCCATAAATTCTGGAGGTTTTTCTTATCAGGATTTGGGGAAGGTAATTAATAAGGCTTGGCTGATTTAGTAACTAATATCGTGACCATTCATACTGGTAAACATAAATGAAGAGACTTAGCCAATACCCCGTGTGCCTCCTGCCCTGAAAATTTAGCCTTCCCTTTAGACAGCAGGTTTTATACTCCTTACATATAATCATTCTTACAGAAGGAATCAATAAGTACTTAGAGAACCAACAGAGAGGTTTGGGAATTAGAAAATCACCCAACCTTGCACGCACTGGGCCATGACTGAGAATACAAAGAAGAATTCTTTACTCACAGCTCAGCCTTCAATACGAAATCACTCATTGGCTTTTACATAAATCTTAAAACCAGAGGAAGAAGGTGATTAACAAACCCAGTTCAGTCTAAAATTCACTTAGAACAATGTTAAAATCATTACCATCAATAGTTTATGGAACAATTTTACAATCAAGGACAAAATTATGTTTTCTCGAACATGTAAGTTATTCTTGGCTGAAGAATGGGGAAATAGATTAATTATGGCCTTGGGAACTTCAGGGCTTCTTTTAAAAAAAATTTTTTTTATGTTTATTTATTTTTGAGACAGAGAGAAACAGAGTATGAGCGGGGGAGGGGCAGAGACAGAGAGAGAGAGACACAGAATCTGAAGCAGGCTCCAGGCTCTGAGCTGTCAGCACAGAGCCCAAAGTGGGGCTCGAACCCATGAACCGTGAGTTCGTGACCTGAGCTGAAGTTAGACGCCCGAGGGGCTGAGCCACCCAGGCACCTCAAGGGCTTCTTAAATTTACAATAAATCTTCTAGCTTTATCTTTAAAGGAAATAGGCCTACTTATAAATTAATGGAACAACTTCTGTACTATCAGACTTTCCTGAAGGTTTTTTAAAACTCTTACTCCCACCGAAATTTAGCCAAGTTTTAGTACTCTTTATCATTTAAATGAGTTTCTGCATGAGAACAATACTGAAATCACTTTGTTATATTAGAATTTTTTTCCTTTGGTGTTAATAAAACATCTTTGACATGCAATGAAATGTTTAAATCACATAGTTCTCTGACAGAATAAAGCCTTTCCAGAAACATCTTCTAGCAGGGAACAATTATTGTTAATATACGTTTTATCTGTAAAAACTAAATACAATAATAGTTTGCATTAATACAGAGCCTTTCTTCAAATTAGAATTATAGCCAGAGTGTGCGCTCTTTCCATAATGTGAACAGGAACCGCCTTAAGCGCATGTCAGATCTGACCCTTTATTTCAGTTTACGCTGAAGGAAAGAGAGTGATCTCTCTGAGTCCCCAAAGTTGACTATAAGCGGGCAGCTTCTAATACATGCCATTGTCCATGCCTGACATTGCTTCTATGGCAAGTGTATTAGGTAGAACAATATCCTCCAAAAATTCATCCTCAGTCAGAACCTCAGAATGTGACCTTTTTGAGGAGGGTCTTTGCAGATGGATTAGGGTGGACCTAAATTTAACATGACTGACGTCCTCATAAGAAGAGGGGCATCTGTACGGAGAACATAAAGGAAAGAACATGGAGGCAGAGACTGGAGGGATGCAGCCACAAGCCAAGGAAGCCTGGGGCTGTGGGGAGAGAGACTAGGAAGGATCGTCTCCTGGAGGCTTCAGAGAGCATGGCACTGCCACCATCTTGATTTTGGACTTCTAGCCTCCAGAATTGTGAAATAATACATTTGTGTTGTTGTAAGCCCCCCAGTTTGTGGCAATTTGTCATGGCAGCCCTTGCAAACGAAGGCAGTGGGGCGCATTGACTCAAACTGGTTCAGCAAGAACACTGGGGAAAAGCATTTTGTTTTCTTTTTCTTTGGCAGGATGCAGCAGACAATGCTGGTGCTATACCCAAATGCCATCCTAGGATCTCTTTTTACAGCTTTCCCCCCTCTCCCCATTTCAGTAGGCTTGGAACAGCACTTGCAGCCCTTCTTTGGAAGACAGCCCTCTGGCTTCTCAGCTGCGTGTCCTGCCAAAATCACCAGGGGATTTGCCACTCTCCCTCCCCCTGCTGCCCTTGACCAATGACCGATTCAAAGCATGAAAGCCCACCTTCCTTGCTTGGGTTGAGACAATGCTGGGGCATAAGTTACACTCCCGAGCTCACCCATGGGATCAGGCGGAAGCTTCCTTCTGTGGGATGGTGCCCAACGTGGCATTAGAGTGAGCAAATCCTATGGTTTGCCTGGCAGTCTCCCACTTTTAGCAATGATGGTCCAATGTCCCTGGAAAGTCCTAAGTCTTAGGCAAACGGGATAGGTTAGTCACTATAAATGGCCCTCTTGCTTAGATTCTTCCCTTTCTCTGTCCGTCTTCCTTTGGAGTACTTCTTTAATAAGTCCCCTGTACACAAATCCTCATCACAGGGTCGCCTTGTGGGGAACCTGGCCCAAGACAGTGGTGCAGGAAGGGGTGAAGAGGGCAAAAAAGCCTTGGGGATTTGGATATGTCCTATTGGAGAAATTCAGCCATGAATCCACATTGTGTAACTCATGTTCCTGGTGATTGGCAAATAAACATCTCAAACTCAAAAACAGAAGCAGGGAGTAATTTTTAGGCCTCACACATTCCCCTCTGGATATCTTAGCTTATCCAAGTGAACCCTCACACTGAGTACAAACAGCAAACACATGCCTGGTTAGAAGCACAGTAGTGCACAGTAAGTGTGAATACTCATCTCTTAATAAGAGGGCGAGTTCTATCTTTTACTTTGTTTCTGAAATGGTTTCTGTTTTGGAGAGTTTTCCCTTCCAAGACTCCTGATAGGATATTAGTAGCCAATCAGAAATATTATGGGGGAAATATCCAGTAGCAATGGGGTATTTAACAGGTTCTGTGGGGATCCTTCAGGACTGGTTTGTGTATGAGTCTCTTGTAGGGTTATTTTTTACCCTCTAAAAGGCCTATTTATTTTCCATGAGGCTGGGGGTATCTTAACAGGGGGCTTCTCCTGGGAGATCTACACTTTTTTATTTGGGTGTATTTACTTATAGATTTATGTCACTATGTAGGTAAAACATTTGCACGTTAAGAAATTCAAACCATGTTAAAAAAAAAAAAAGAAATTCAAACCATGTAAAACGATATACCGTGAAAATAAAGTCTCCCTCCTTTCTCTGTCCTTGAACCTCCCAGTTCCCCTTCTCAGAGGCAGCTACTGTTACAAGCTTCTTACATATCAAAAGGGTTACTTTGGACCTATGAAAGAAGTCATGCTTCCCCTGCATTCTGTGTGAGATTAGCGGCAGGGTAGGAAGTATATGGAGGGCACTGTCACAGCCATGAAGGACTCAGATTTAAAAAGCTAAAGGGCTCCTGGAGTTGAGTTTGAAGCACTAAACTGATGTAGATGCCATCATTGTGCCCTTCACATTAGATTGACATTTTTCTACTAAATTGCAGTATTAGAAAATGACAACATCCTCTCCATGCCTTGGGAGTTGTATGCTGTCTGGATTTCATTGCTTTCTTCGGTCTTTGTGGTAGCAATGCACAAGGATGCCAGTCATCATAATGGCTCGTTTTAGGGCATTCAAAGGGATAATTCAGACCGGCTTTTAAAAAAGACTCACAGGATGAAAGGCATCAGCCAAGATTATCTCTTAGGGTAGAGATGGGAAATTGGGCACTCAAGAGGCCAGATAGCTGTAATAGTAAGGTTGGTAACATAAACTAAATTTCGTGGCCTCACCTGTGCTTGCCTTGAATGGAAGAGAGGTTTGTTTTCACTGGGTAATTGCATCTGGGATGATTTAAGAGAGAGTTAGTCTCAACAAAGAGATTTTCCCTACCTTTGGAGTAGCCGCCTGAAGGTGCATCCCAAATTTTGCGGCACTCATCATGATAGAATGCAAAATGTTGTTCCCATCCCCAATCCAGCTGAGGGTAAGGCCTTTCAGGGAGCCATAGTGTTCCTAAAAGGCAAGCGAGAAGATTATATCCAGGAGGAAATCCACTTATGTGAAACAATTATTAGGGCTAAAATGAAGGAAACAGTCTTCACCTAGTTTTTAATACTTTGTTGGAATGAATAAACTTTTTTTTGCATTATACAGGGCCATTCAATAACATGAATGTGCAATCCCAAAAAATAGCAAAACAACTTAGTATCTTAAACCAAGACATCATATGAACTTGTACAGAGACTCTTATTTTCATACATTTCAAATCTGAATCTCTGTTGTATTCTTTTATTCATTCATTCAACAAATTGAGTGCCATCAATGTCTAGAGGCTTTCCTTGGTCCTGGAGATAGAACAATGAAGAAAGGAGACAAAAAATATCACTGCCTTTGTGGAGCTTACATTCATTGGTATTAGAAAGGGGAAATACAATGCACCTGGAACAGTGGAACATGGTGGCTGTGTTCCCATTTATACGAAGTTAAAAAACATGCTCATCAATATTCTTGGTTGTTTATGGATACAGATGTGTAAAGTATAAACACATGCCTGGGAATTATAAAAACAAACACCAGGATAATAATTTCTCTGTGGGGTGAGAGGAAATGGGATCAGGGAGAGTTACACAGTAGGCTTCAACTCTACTTGAAATATTTTATTTAAAAACAAAAAAATTCTGGGGTGCCTGGGTGGCGCAGTCTGTTAAGCGTCCGACTTCAGCCAGGTCACGATCTCGCGGTCCGGGAGTTCGAGCCCCGCGTCAGGCTCTGGGCTGATGGCTCGGAGCCTGGAGCCTGTTTCCGATTCTGTGTCTCCCTCTCTCTCTGCCCCTTCCCCGTTCATGCTCTGTCTCTCTCTGTCCCAAGAATAAATAAACGTTGAAAAAAAAAATTAAAAAAAAAAAAAAAGGAACCTTAATTAAAAAAAAAAAAAAAATTCTGAAGTTAGATCTGACAAAACTATGTAAGGGGCCCAAAGGTGTTTGTTTGCTTTTTCTTGAAGTGTCTGTAGGTTTCACATATTTTATATATTTATAAAGATAATATTTAAAAAAGAGAAAGGCGAAGCAATTTGGAGTTCGCAGAACTATTAGATGGCTAAGCTAGGATTTAAATTTAAGCCCATCTGATTTAGATTGTGTTCTTAATAAGCTGCTGTTTATTCGTTCAACTCCTGCTTTGAGTATCTTCTATATGAAGGCATTGCACCAGGTTCTACAGGGGACAGTATGATGCATAGGACATTTGTAATCTAGTAATGATAAAGCCCCAGGCGGAAGCATTAAATTATCTGGCATATATGTAAAGCCACACCTGCAAACAGCCACTTGGTATCCTACATTGTTGTATCATCTTTGGATGAATTTTATCCTCATCACCAAAGAGTTTCATTTTGAGTTTAACTTCACATTCATATGTGCGTTGCTTATCCAAATAAGGAGGAATATGGACCTATCCAGTTTTCCCTGTCTTCCCAGAATAGTCCATCAACACGGAAACCATGGTTGTCAGGATGCCTGGTGGCAAGCCCGTGTAGATTGGCTGTGGCAACCCAAAAGAGATGAATCTTTCAAAGTTATTCAAGTTTCTAATTTAAGGAGACATAGCTAAATTCGCCTCAGTTCTCTAAATTCTACATGTTCTTAACTCCTAAACAATCAGTATATTAAAATGATAGAAAATGGCCTCCTTCTCAGAAAGCGATTTAGTGGTTGACCACTTTGAATATTCAAAGCATACTCTACCAGTCTTCACTCCCAAGCCACAGAGCCTGATGTATGCTGGATTACATAAAGCTTTTCCATTCTGCATGCTCCAGCCTTCTCTTTTCATCCATTGTGTTAAACATGTCACCAAAAAGCAAAGTAATTGAGAGAACAGGGGATGAAAGGGGGGCTAAAAGAGGTTGGGAGTTGGGTTGAGAACAGAAGGATCTTCAGATCTGTTTTTAACAATGTCCTGTCATCCTTGGATATTTGGTATGCACACATATGCTATAATTCTTTGCCAAGATGATATTTGAAAACAAAACATCAATACCATGATTTAAATGGCTCTATTTAGAACTAGTCAGGAACAATTTGATGATTTTGCTCTTGTGGAAGGCAAAGAATGAGCCAACCTGGAGTGTGAGGTAATCAGCCAGGATCTGGATAGGATGGTACAAATCGGACAGCCCATTGATGATTGGGATGGATGCTTCTTTAGCCAGGATATCCAGATCTGATTGTTTATACACTCGAGCCAGCACTGCATCTGTCATGCTTGACAACACGCTGTAGCAAACCAAGAAAAGATAATCTAAGTTAATTATGCTTATTAATTCCTTCTTTAATACATGGTCTTAAACAGGAATAAGAAATGCTAATAAATTAGAATTTCTACTAAGTTACAGCTACCTATCAACATGATAGGTTTAAAAGCTAATAGTAAACATGTAGTCATTACAGAAGCCAGATGGTGTTCCAAAGGTCTTATCCAGTGACCGCTAATTTTACTATTTTTTACAAAGCAATCGTGGGCCTAACAGTCATGATGATGAATTATAATTGGTAAGTGGCAGTTGGTAAAGTTTTAAGGGACAAGGCTAAAAACAAGGTACATTAATGACCTTGCATGTGGCTAATTTTCTTTTGCATTATTCCAGAGACAAATACACATATTCACTATAAAATTGAAAGTACCAGTGTGGCAGCCATGAAGGTGCACACACACATTGTCCCACAAGAGAGAACCTTCTGGGAGGAGTCCCATTAGCTGACAAACTCCAGCTGCTGTACTTTTGGGATACACTGCAGTGTTCCCACTAAGGCCACACTCCCCCCAGGCTGTTCCCAGTGGGGGCACCAGAGTTGAGCTCCAATGGGCACTCTTTGCTCCAAGGTCCCCCACTGGCCAGGCTGAGACTTTCTCAGAGCTGTGCTGCAGTCTCTGGTTCTTTATGCCCTACTCCCTCCTTCCTCTTCTTTCACTGGGGTCAGACCTGCATCGTGCTCTGAAGGCTCTCCCTGCCTGCTCCTGCTTCCTCCCTCCTTGATTCTTCACAATTGTTTCCCCCTACAGATCTCTTGCATGTCTTATTCCATCTTGCAGTCTGCTCCTCCATGAACTTGAACTGACACAGCCCACAATAAATTCCTGCAGGGGCTGAGCCTGAGGAGGTATTCAGCCCTTGTCCCTGCACTCTGCATAGCTATTGGCATCTCTGAAAATATCAGAAAGCGCTCAATATCGTAAACACAAAAATCCACCAAGAAAGCAAGACAATCCAAATTGTAGCCATGAATTCAAACAACACACAGAAAAACAGATGTTATTATTCTCATTTTATAGTAGAAGAACCTAAGACACAAAGAGGTGAAGTAACTTGCCCGTTATCGTGCAGCTAATCAAGTCGGAGGAGCTCATATTCAAATTAAAGTCAGTTTGGGGCGCCTGGGTGGCGCAGTCGGTTAAGCGTCCGACTTCAGCCAGGTCATGATCTCGCGGTCCTGGAGTTCGAGCCCCGCGTCGGGCTCTGGGCTGATGGCTCAGAGCCTGGAGCCTGTTTCCGATTCTGTGTCTCCCTCTCTCTCTGCCCCTCCCCCGTTCATGCTCTGTCTCTCTCTGTCCCAAAAATAAATAAACGTTGAAAAAAAAAGTCAGTTTAACTCTAAAGTCCATTACAACACATTGCCTCAATTTTGCACATGAAAACATCTGGAAGGAGAGCCTTGGATCCAGATTTTAACGTTTTTCCATGCATCAGAGTGATGGTGGTTCCTCAGCTAAAGCTAACAAACTAGCAAGGATAGCCTTTGGCTTAAAATCTTGGTTTCTTATTATTTAAAGGGAAACCCGCACAATAAAGGCTTCTAACCAGGGATGCTTGGGTGGCTCAGTCGGTTAAACATCTGACTTCAGCTAAGGTCATGATCTCACAGTTACTGAGTTTGAGCCCCACGACAGGCTCTGTGCTGACAGCTCCCAGCCTGGAGCCTGCTTCAGATCCTGTGTCTCCCTCTCTCTCTGCCCCTCCCTAGCTCACACTCTGTCTCTTTCTCTCTCAAAAATAAATAAACATTTAAAAAAATCCAACGGTTTCTAACCATTTGAATTTTAAAGAATTCTTTTTAATGGCAAAAAAAATTGGAAAACCTCTCATGATAGTAGTTAGAGTAAATATAGTCATAATTATAGAGTATCTGGTTTGGGGTTCCTATTCTGGTTCTATAACTTACTAGCTATGTGACCTTGGACATGTTATTTCATTTCTCTGTGACTTGGTTTCTTCATCTGTAAAACCATAATAATATCTATCCTATTGAGTTATTCTGAGAATTACATTAGATTACCTATTTAAAGTATATAGTATGATGGCTTATTCATGGTAAGAGATCAAAAAGTGGTAGATATTATTACCATGTCAAAAGAAACTGCAACTCAACACAGTTGAGAAATCAAATAGTCCAATTTAAAAGTGGACGGAGGACCTGAATAGACATTTTTCCAAAGACATACAGATGTCCAACAGACACGGGAAAAATGCTCCAATCACTCATCATCAGGGAAATGCAAATAAAAACCACAATGAGGTATCACTGTACACCTGTCCAAATAGCTAAAATGAAAAACATGAGAAACAGTAAGTGTTGGCAAGGATGTGGAGAAAAAAGAACCCTCACGCACTGTTTGCAGGAATGCAAATTGGTGCAACCACTATGGAAAATAGTATGGAAGTTCCTCAAAAAGAATTAAAAATAGAATTACTATATGATCCAGTAATTCTATTGGGTATTTACCCCAAAAAAATGTAAAACACGAATTCAAAAATATATATGTACCCCTGTGTTTATTGCAGCATTATTTACAATAGCCAAGATATGGAAGCAACCCAAGTATCTATCCATACATGAATGGATAAAGAAGATGTGGTATACACATACACAATGGGATATTACTCAGCCATAAAAAAGAATGAGATCAAGGGGCACCTGGGTGGCTGAGTTGGTTAGGCATCCGACTTTTGATTTGGGCTCAGGTCATGATCTCCCAGTTTGGTTTGTGAGTTTGAGCCCCATGTCAGGCTCTGTGCTGACAGTGTGGAGCCTGCTTGGGATTCTCTCTCCCTCTCTGTTCACCACCCCCACTCCATTCTCTC